AGGTCGGTCAGGCAATGGATGGGTTAGACTGGGTCCACAATATCACTGGCGTGCTCACGGTCACTGACCTAGCCCAGTTTAGTCACTCCCTGTGGAGCAGTGGTTCTGGCACCACCCTCATTGCTTGCCAAGAGAGTGTGGTCCTTTGGCGTCAGTCCTCAGATTTGCAATACTTGGCGCAATCAGCTCATAAAGTGTTCTTCCTTGGTCATACCACCTTCCCTTGCCAATCTCTAAAAGGCCGTGCACCCCTGAAGTGTCGATGTTTCCTTTGGCTAGCATTGCAGGAGCGACATGGCCTTCCTAGCCATGAAACTGCCCCATGTGCTCCAAGAGACGAAGTCAGCAGAGCACCTTTTCATCTGCTGCCCGGGGTAGAGGCAGCAGCTAACGGATCTTATCCTTAATGTGCAGGCCATGCCATGTAATCCCCTTGACAGCTAAGGTTGTCTATGCATAGAAGTACTCTGAAGCACAAGACGAGTCTTCTGGCTGTGGTATACAACATCAAGGTGGAATTCAACTTTCGGTTGTGTAAACCATCATGAGTAGTAGCTAGTGAGTGCATGCTGCCTTCCTGTGATGTAAAAGTTGCCTCATCTGCAGTCTAGTATTGACCTTGACCTTTAGCACTGTCTGCCAAACTCTTGTGCCTATTATGCTTTACTTCTTAATGCAAAAATATGCAAGCGCATGTTTGCACATTATCTAAAAGACTAAAACCATACTTTCATGGGCTAACTGTCTGTTTTACTTGCAGAATTAACCAAAAACAAATTTTGAATTTTTATTCCAGACAGCACATTACATGAACAGGAACGCAAAGCATGCAAAATAAGATGGAAAATATTCAATCCAACAGTAAATCAAGAAATGCACGGGTAAACATCCAATATATCTCAAAATTCAACCAAGGGCAGTGGAAGTGAAAGTTATGACTTGAAGCTTGAATGCTGAAGAACATTGAACGTACAGTTTCATGAAAGGAACCAATGACCTAACTGTGAGGGCCCTCAGAGCTACCATGACACAACAATAGCAGTCTACAGCACACACGAACGAGAAATTGATGCTCGTGGGAAGGTTTGGTGGTGTTTCGCTTAAGGGATGAGCAGTAAGATATTGTGCCACTGGTTCCACACCGCCATTTCCAAGGAATGGGAGTGCAGAGAGGTGCAACTCCAGGAGAGCAGGAGGGTTCGTGGCCATTGGAGTGGTGGAGCCAGTCAGGGTCACTCATGCTGGTTGGGTATTTGCGATATGGCTAAGGCTAGAAAGGAGAATGCCTGTTTGATCTTCACTAAAATAGATCATTTAACTCTGACAATGTATATTAATTGGGTGTGTCTAGGGCACATCTAGATGTGCTTTAGTTATTGCACATCTAAGTGAGTGAATCAAGCATAAAGAGAAAAAGAAAAAAGAGAAAGAAAATATTCACACGAATCTCAATGTAAGATCAATGACATATGACTTAGATGTGCAATACTTATGGCACATCTAGATGTGCTTTAGCAAAACTGATATTTAATTCATGCCTACGGGTATTTATACAGGAGAACATGCGACGATGAGATGAACTAAGAGAGAGTACATGAGAACATGCCCCTAGCTGTGCACTAGACTCGGCAAATCTGATACCTGATCCAGCCAATCTGCTACAATTTATAATGTTGACTACCGTGTCTATGTCCTTCAGGCTTGGGACCTTGATAAGTGTCACACGTGTGGCACGAACACAGCAACACCGAACGTTTTTTATGGCAAGTTTAATGACGCGAGGATGGCAACTTTTGTTGTCAAGCATGGCAACTTTCTTTTCAGATGACAAGTTTCAGTTTTTTTTAGTTTGTTTTTTTTTTCTTTTCGGATGGCAACTTTAGTTGTAAAAATGTCAGGGCCGGAGTGCTTCGTGCTAGACGTGTGGCGCTTATCATTTGGGTAACCTTGTAGTGTGTTATCTGTCTGCTATATCCTTCATGTATGTTCTCTGTTGTACGGTGATGTTTCCATACATGATAGATTTTATTATCTCGTGGTAAAACATAAGATGGAGTTTCCTGCAATATAATTTAGTTTACCCGAAGTCTCTAAATCTAAACATTAGCAAAAGGGAAAGTTGTGGCTACATCGACACGGTAGCAAAAATACAGTGACATTAACCCAGCAGGTAATAATAGCTTCCCACGCATCGTACCACAGGTAGCTAACTTTGGCACGAGCCTCGAATCCAGAACACAGGAAGAAACAATACAGGGGATTTTTACAGCAGAAAAATAAGGGAGAGTGAAGAGACGCGGGAAGAGGAGTTGCCTGAGACGAAGAGGTTGTTGCAGGGCTCCGCCGCGGGGCGAGCCGTGGGGGGAGGCGGGGGAGCGAAGGCGGAGACGGAGAACATCCGCCGGAACCCGGCCCGTGCTGCACCGGCGCGAGCTGCTGCGACCGCCGCCATGTATGATGTCTCGATGAGACGGTGGCGAAAGCGGCGCTGCGAAGGGGCGGAGGCGAATGGAGGCTTCGCGTGCTTGCGGCGGAAGGGTTTCCGCTTGTGCCGATTGCCGAAGAGTGTAGGCCAATCTGGGTGGACCGAATTGGGCGGAATCCTGGCCCAGCAAAGCCATGTTCTTCGCCGACTGCTGCCCCTGGGCCGTTCCAGCGCGGGGCGGCCCAATAACATTAGATCTTTTCTCAAAACAATTTGTTACAGACAATATTTGAATTTATTTTTAGGAATTTCGATTGCAATGTAAAAGCACACAACACACCATTACACATAATTTTTTTGTGAGGAAACCATTACACATAACATCAATGATACACCAAAGCATCGAACCTAAAGTTAGATCCCTAATGGGCTGAGTGTATCACCCTCCTCCTAACCATCTAACCAAGAAAATCTACCACATGACATATGTGGTAAGCAATCCAAACAATTAAAAAAACAAAAAAATCTAACCGATGTTTGGTTCCCATATTTAAAAAAAAAAAGTGGTGTATTGTATTATTTGGGCAACATAGAGTCGGTACATTCATTGTCGACCAGACGCAACATTCTGGCCAAAAATGAGTCGATCAAAACACCACTACTCACACCACTCCTACCATAACTAGCAAGAGCATGTTCTCGCAAAAAAACTAGCAAGAACATGGACAACCCTATTGTCATTTCTTGACATCGCAAAGAAAATGGGTTATTAAGCCATAAAGGCCTAAGTGGCGCGGCGAAGCGCGCCCCACATTTCTAGTTTGGGACTTTGGGTTATGGTTCAAACATAGCTCATGTGGTCTCTATGTCTAATGGCATCAAGTCTAGGTGTAGAGAGAATTCTTGATGGATAATCTATGTGTTTTAGAGTTGAGTTTGTATGTCTTGGTTTGCATCTTACTAAAGCTTGTACAGTCCACTTTTTTTATATGAAACTATTTTGATCTTTCTGATTGGTCGTATAAAATAATCGCATTTTAACGAGGACTGCCCAGGTTAATTTCCAAGGGTAACATCTTCAAGTTCATATTCGAGATCTCTACTTACAACTATAGCAAAAACGACGTCCTTGTTTGGAGTTCCCAAGCTTTTCAACATGATGTCACACCGAGGTATAATGCATGTGACATAGCCTCTCAGAGCATCTCCAACAGATCTAAATTTAATCCAAGAACTAAAAATTGAAAATTTAAATATATGTTTCTTCCAAAAACAACTCCAACAACATATCCTATGTGCATGGGGACTAAAAAATTTGGGTGGATTCCCAACTTTCATTACAAAGGATCCATATTTTGGTCCAAACAACCACTCTACCAAAATGACCAGAAGTAACATTGGAACAGCAACCGCGCCCGAACCCTCCTCCTCTCCTCCTCCCAAAAAGCTGCTCCTTGTAAAAAAAATAGCACTAGAAAAATCTGTTCGGCAGGCAGCTCCACTCCCGATTCACTAGGACGGATAGAAACGAGCGAGTCAGGTGTGCCCACTCGAACAGTTTTCAGTTGGCGGTGGCACTTCTTTTGTAAATCTTACCAACTCCATGATTTCCCGATTTGAGATCCTGCAAATTGCCGCTACATAGAAGTGCACAGCAGCCTGCCCCGCTCCGGATTTGCAACTATGGGGAGTTCGAGCGTTCGGCACCACTCCGCCGGCTATGGGAGCAGAGTTGAGGAGTGTAGAGAGTCCGAACACGCTTAGTCTCGATGCAGTGGCAAGGATGTTTAATATGACGGTAGTAGTGTTTAATTTATGTATGTTTATATTTGCAACTGATCATAGTGCTTAGTTGTGCAATGAACTATGTGTGATCTCCATGTTTCATTGCTTTTTAAAAAGATGGGTACCCAGTTTTAGGCATGTTGTACACATGCCTACACGCACGGCACTATTTGGACGATTTACGATGACTCGATGAGTCAGCTGAGCCTTTCATCAGGTCTGAGTCCTTTGGAAGGACTCGTCATAAGAGAGGAGAAATCTGTCTACCCAAATCTTCCTGTCTCCTCTAGCCAAAATTCAGGCCTGCTATTGAAGATGCTGTTATGATAATTTGTTGATGTATAAGAAATGTAAGTGAGAGTCAGAGTAAGAAGTGGCAAATCCTCTATGCTGAAAATTGGAGTAGGTCTCGTTCTTGCATTGCATGATCACGAAATCACTTCTCATGAAGGATAACAACAGGGAAATCAGAAGAAAGCCCGAAGACAAGCTGCGAATCAGTCCCCATAAAAAATGTATACATTTACATAAATCGTGTTTACTTTCTTTCCTCGGACAGCACTATTCAGAGGAGAGAAATACTGCCCATGGACATTTTATTACATCGAGCAAGCCATAGCTGAGATTATTTATTATACATCAGTCCATTAATTAAATCAAATAACAGCAAGATATACTGGACAAGAAATTTCAGAGGTCTTACATTCTCAATCGCTGTTTCGCCATTCTGAAAAAATGGCATGGGGTTCGGTGGATCTAACACTTCATATAAATACAAAACTTCTTGGTCTTACACCTGCAGGAAGCTAGCATACTTGGCGCCGAGGAAGAGCCTCTGCACACAGAGCAGGGAGTTCTTCCTAACTTCGGCATTGTCGTGGTTCATGAGTTTCATGACTCGGTCCTTCGCCTTGAGGTCTGCCACCACTAAGCGGCCAGAAGGGTGGTACTGAAGGAACTGTGAGAGGTCATAGCAGGCAACCGCAAGAGCAGTGGTGTCGGTTGATGTGTCAATGACTGTCATAAGGACACGTAGGATCTGCAACATTGAAGGTGTCACTCCACAAAAAGGTACAGAAAAATAACATTTCACTTTGAATAATATATTAGGCAAATCTTGATCGCCTGATCGGCACCAACTCAAACATCGAAAATAGTCATATTGGATGTCATTAACAAAACTGTGTATGCAATATGCATGCCCAACAAAAAGTTTTTTGACCCTGGAACCGTTGAACAATCGTTCTACGGTATTTTGCCTAACATAAATTTAATAGGATACTAGAACAAGATGGGTGCAACCAGGTGTGAAGACACGACCTAGAGTGTTTCACGCACTAGTATCTTAACATGCTGCACTGGAACTGATAAAAGCAGTCCAAGAGACTCAGGCCGCGGCATTAAGGTGGATTATGATATGTTCCAGGTTTTTCAGCGGGCCTCCTTTTTCATTTGGCTAACCAACTGTTTGCTGCTTTTGAGACTATTTTCCACAACAGATAAATTCAGCACTGCACAGTTGAGCAACTGCAAAATTAGCCTCAGTGTAGGAGAACCGGACCAAATTTAAAATAGGCCACTTTGGATTATACGAACATTTTCCGGGCACAAAAAAGGATTATACAAGCAAACAGCTCCTGAAATGCAATCAGGGGGGAGGGGGGGGGGGGCAGTTTTGCATGTGGTTCCACGAGATATTCTTCTTTATATTTTCATTCAAACAAGGACATGACATACCTGGAAATCATTTTCCTCAAAGTTGGTGATATTTTCTCGCCAGAAATTTGGGTCTTTGTGCATTGGAGACCAATCAAGATGGCCAAGAAGCACTTGCTGTTTGTACTTATCAAATGAGCTCAACCTCTTAAGGTTCTCTTTGAGACCCACTTCCAGTTGATTCAGTGCATCTAACAAATCCTGGTTGCACAGGTAGGATAATGTCAGTTCAAAGAGGTAATAACACAGACTCAACTGAATACACAACTAAAGAATTCCACAGCATTTTTGCAGATACAACAAAACTCTGATCCTACAATCATGGTACATCGCACCATATAATACTATACGTCCGTTTGAGCGACAACTAATATGGGACGGAGGGAGTACTAGGGTATGCCTGTATAGTACAGGCAGAGAGAATATTCAGTAGAAACCATGTTTGAAAGTTTTCAAAAATTCTCAAAACAATATAGTATGTTAAGGGTGATGTTCTATTAGCATGTGAAATTCCAAGTTCAGACACAAATTCGTTACGAGGTTGGCGCTATTCATTGCTGAATTATTATTTTCATGCGCCGTAAATGGATGTGTTTGAACTTGGAATTTTACGTGTCTACAGAAAACCATCTCTTTGACATACTATATATTTTTCAGACTTCTTCGAAACTTCAAAACATAGGTTCCACGTGGTTTTCACCGGTTCCCACCTTAACTTGGTTTCCACCGGATATTCATGTGTATGCTTGTCAATGTGAGCTAAAGGGCAAATGAATACATCAAATTAACATAGTTGTCATGAGGAGTTTGGACAAGAACACAGAAATTTTAACTGAAAAAAATAAATAAACTAAATATAGTGCTCTTCTTCTAGAATGACAGTGTTTATTTCAAGTAAACAGTAATAAATACAAGTCTGTTCCTGAAAACATGAAGGAAACCAAAAGGAGATCATTTTACTTCACTGGACTTCTAGAAGGGAATCTATCTCAGATCATTCATTCTTACGAACTTATATACCAGCAACAGAAAAAAAAATGCTTTAAACAAGGTTTCAGCCTTTCAATCTTCTAGTAAATGCTTGAAAATGTAAAGGTTTTTAATATCCTCACCTCATCACTCCATGCTTGAGCTTTCAAATTCTGTACTATATGCGGCAACCCAAGATCAATCATTTGGGCAGCAAATGCACCCTTTGCCAACAAATTGCGGAAGGACATCACAACAACTCGGACAACCTTAAAAAACAGAAAATAAAATAACATTATGTTAGTATTTCTGATATGAAAGAAATTTATAGCATATTAGAACATGAAAAGTTCAAGGCTCACCTTCTCTTTAGTAGAGCCTTTGACAACATCTAAAAGTCTTGGCATAACCCTTGTAGTGGACAAATAATCAACGGCTGCATCATAGAAGGATAAAAGCCAGATACAAAGGCAAGTTTCATAGAGGAGCTGCATAAGATGCAACAAGGGGCGAAGAGTAGATTAGCAAATTAGTTCACAATTTAGAGAAGATGAAAAAGTTATAATTACATAAAACTGAGCTGCTTAGAGTAAATTGATAAATGATCATCTCATCCTAATGATGATTGCACCGTTAATTAAATTAGTCAATTGATGTTAAAATGTGGAACAGTGACATGCATGCATCCAATAAATCTAAAGGGAACCGCATAAGCAATTTGAGTACAGAAAGTTGAAATTATGTTCTTTAAATAGAACAATTTGCATATTTTAACCTTCTATATAATTAAGGGACTCGGCAATACCTGAATTGACTGTTGTGTTGAGGCTGGAGATATTAAAGGAATGAGCAGTTTTACACCATCTGCCTGAACAAATAAGGTTCGAACATATGTCTCCTTCAGCAAAGTGGCAAGACAATGGGTAGCAGTAGGAATAGAACAGTTTGGATGGGTGGGGCTCCTGAGCTGCAAAGAACACCATTCTCAAAGTTTAGAGCTCCTGAACACTAGCTTCATAGCACAATTAGATACAAAGCAATAATAAACTAAAAGGCCATTTCACAAGTTTTGACCTGAGAACAGAGCCAATCAACCAAGCCCTTTAACACATCATGAATTGATGTAAGCTTGCTCTTTGAATTTGAAGCCTCTCCATTTGGAACCATGCCGTTCTGAAGCTTAGGTCTCGCACTACAATCATAGTGAAGTTAGATTGTCCAGAACAAGGAGAAGCACAATACAATCATTTGAAATTAAAGAGAATGTACCTTATTAAGTGAGTTAATATCTTACAGCTCTTCTCCTGTACGAACCAGTTACCTTTCAAGAGCAACCTGGAAAACAGTATTTTTTGTGAGCTAAATATGACAGCCAGAGAATGGACTAATAAAAAGGAAAAAAACTGGCAACAAAAGGTAGTATGTGCTCAGCTCATCCCAGTTGAGATGGTGCAAGGTAGAGTGGCTGGCCCATGGGCTGGCTCATTATCAAAGTTTAGTTGAAGGGATTGGATGGTGGGATACTGAATAATAAGAAATTAAGAGCTATGAAGTCTCGAAGGGGAAAACAGTTTGGTTTAAAGACCAATTATTAAGTCACACCATTTTGGATGGCATCCATGAAATATCCAAGAAAATATATTTGCAGCCTCCCAGTATATACATCAAATGTTGATAATGACAGTGAGAACTAAAGACCCCTTTGGTTTACAGAATACCCTTATCAACCTGAGTGGAAAGCAACCTAGTAGAGTGGATTATAACCATCCTAAGACCAATTCATTCCAAAACTGGTTGACATTGGTAGGATGTGGAAGGAAAAATCGGGTTTTATAACACTATTCCACTCGCAGACCATGAGAGGTAAAAGGTGTTCTGTCCCCATGGGTTGGCCATCCACCAAATGGCTTTTGAACAGGAATTCATGCACAATCAACCTATTGCAGCCTATGTTGATCTATTTGCGCAGTGAATGAGATGTGCGGATTTTAAGATGACAAAAAGGCACACGGACTAAAAAAGTATCAAATCAATTAATACTTGCCTTAGGAAAGGATCGTAAATGTCTTCACCAGAGAGAGAGTTGTCGTAGAACAGTGCTGCTCGTTTAGGATTCGCTGAAAATAAAGGCAATGGTTTAACACTATGTCTATAATACTAACACAAAAGGTTTATTCTAGTAGATGAGTCGTTGAGGACCTGCAAGCATCTCATCAATGAGGGCAAGCACATATTCCACAGTCTCTTCCTTGGAGATGCTTCGCAAAATATTCAAAAAAACACGAACATACGATGGCCCATCCTATAAAACATAGAAATTTCCCAAAAACTTTATTAGAAAATTAATTAAAAAATCAAATTATATGGATTTAGTCAAATAGAAGTGAAAAGTTGGCAAGGATCAGTGCAAACTGCAAAGACAAATAGGATGTATTTGTAGACAGTTATGGCTCGGGATTCTCTTGAAGGAGAAAAAAATACAAGTCTGTTTAAAAGTGAACCTACCGCACTTAGCAGACTAAATGCTACAATGAGGAAATTTTCCTATATGGGTTGTCTAATTCATAGAATTTTAAACCATAGAAATTTTTCCATATGATATGATTCATTTGTACCAGGTTTCATAAGAAAATTTGCATCCATTCCAACCTCTTGGAAAGAATCCAATTGTTTTTCCTATACACAATCAAATAACTATCAAATCCTGTAGTACTCAAGATGGCATGACATTCCAATCCTACATTTTTCCTATTCTGGCATTTTAGAAATACTGCGACTCAAAGGGGCCCTAAGATGGCAAACAAAATACAGTTATGCAATTGTGTTTTCCTAAGCTATTTACCCACAGGAAAAAATAATTTAAGATGATAATGCTACTACTAACCTCATCAAGCAACGGACCTCTCTGACTTTCTGGTTTGTGATCATAACGCCTTAAAAGCTGAAGGCATGTCGAAGTGATCAGCTTAGTTGACATATATGTCTCCCATGGAATGTCCCGCTTGAGAACCTTGAAATACAAACAAGAATCAGATAAATAACGCAGCTTAAAAATCTCCCCTTGATGTTGTCAAGTTCAGACAGAAGCAAATCATGCATGCATTCTATTTGCGCACTGCCCTCCTATTTCTAGATACCTACACTTACAGAGGGTGACATCGTCATGCATTCAGGTACCATCCTCACATACACTTAACAGACGTGATCCAACTGAAAGAGCACTAACGCTTGCAAATAGTTCATGAAAAACCAATCCTAGTTAACAAGGAGCAGCGGCAGGTATTATGAGTCTGCCCGTAAATTGCCCCTCATACAATCAGTTGTTCATGCTTTTGACAGAACAATAAATGGTTATACCTTAAATTATCACACAGAAACAGGGCATGTCTAACTAACAAGAAACCCACGGAGATAACTGAAGTCTGGACAGTACCAGGTCAATTGACTGCATCCTAGAGTAGCACAATGAAATGACCACACAAATGCCAACCAAAGTTGCAACACAAAATCTTGCATGCAGATGAAAATCTGCACTACTTTGGAGTCCCAATACGACAGAATCTACCTTTTAACTACTTCGGAGTAGCAAACGACATAGTCTAGTTTTATTCAAATTCTCCAACCGCTTGCTCCACTCAATTCCAAAAATGAAGAAGGCCCATGAAACATCTGCTCACTTCCAAACAACATTACAAAAGCATCTATTCTCGCTCGAATTCGGCAGCCCTTTGCACTGTTGAATCACAAACAAATAAAAAAATAGTCCTATTTCCTTGAGACGTCGCACCCAGGTAATGTGCGCCACCAGCACATCTTAAAATCTCGACAGCCAAAAGCTAGCAGCGCAAGTTTCAATGCACACTCGGGACCGGCAAAACTAAATCAGGGGAGGCATATCCCAATGCATCAACTGACCTGCTCGGTGGTGAGCTCGGCGCGATCCATCCCGGCTGGTCAAGCTCCACCCACCTGAGAGCGCCCACGCCTGCAAAATCAGAATCATCCGAGTCACGGATCAGATCGGAATCGCCCCCGCGGCACAGGATCCGATCGAAGCGACGGAACCACCGCAGCTACGAAGACACCAGGCCCCGCGCGGATCAACCGGCGAGGGCAGCGATTCGGGCGGACGGGCAAAATAACCTAGCGCGGGATCGCGGATTTCTGGCTCACCTGGCGCCGATGGGCGAGCGGAGGAGGGATCAGGACGGGGAGGAGGTAGGTTGGGGACGATGGGGGTGAAGAGATCTGAGAGAGACACGAGGGAGGGAGAGAAGATTAGGGAGGGAGACGAGTGGCCGAGTCCTTAACGAGGTGGGACCCACGTTGCATACTTGGCCACGTGGAGGAGGTGTCGTGGTCGGCTTCACATGCATCCCTTGGCGCGCATCTTCAAGCGCTCAACGGTGGTATAGTTAACTTTGGCAAAATATCAGCTGCTCCGAAGGCTTAGAGCATCAGACGATGTAAATGCAAAAATAAATAACTTTTGCATCTTCAAGGTCAAAACCCCCTCTCCAATAGATGATGTAGATGTAAAAAAATTACATCTTCGAGCTATAACACCTCGGAGTGCAAATTTGCATCTTCATTTGGAGATGTAAAAACGATGGTCGCGCGCCAACCGCCTAACTGCCTTCATTTTGCTTCCGCGCGACCGCCGACATGGTCGACGCCGATGACCCCGCCGCGCAGCTAGTCCGACGCACCTCGCGGCAGTTGCCGTCGGCGCAACCACAGTCCCCAATTTGGCCTCCGCCTCCATGTCGTCGCCCTGGATTTACCCCACCTCAATCGGTCGCCGTTTGCGCCAGAGCTACCTGCGAAGAAGCAGCGGGCTGCCAAGCAACGCGATGGAGGTGTGAAGCGATAGATGGCGCGGGGGCGCAACCCGGCGGCGAACCAACTTCGGCCGCCCAAAATTTCGAAGCCAAACGCGGCTGCGGCGGGCAATTGGCTGTCGCCGGCAGTCGTGGCTTCCTCCTTCGGACAAAGAGGCCCTCCTTCACCTTCGTCGCCACCCCTATGTCGCTCCTCCTCCTCTCTCCGCCTCAAATCGTCGTTGCTTCGCAACCCTGATTTGCGACGCCGCCGCACCGAGTCGCCACCACCGCCGCCCCTTCGACGCTTCTTCGTCGCCGCACCGAATCACGTTGCGCCGCCGCTGTTCCCACTGCCACCGCCCCGATTCAGCCGTCGCCCACTAGTTTTTACATCTCCATTTTGCCTCATCTATTGGATTTGCACTTTTACATCTCCATTTTGCATCATCTATTGGAGCTGGCCCTTTTTTGGAGATGCAAAAAGTAGTTTTTGGAGATGTAAATTTTTACATTTCCAAAATTGCATCTTTTATTGGATATGCTAGTATAGCATCTCTAGCAGACCCCTTAAAACGCGCCGACCCGCCAAATAACCGCTCGTTTACGGTTTTGGGCAAAAAAAGTGACCCGATCAGAAACTGTATCGGCCCGCGACCTGTAAAAAATTGTGGGGCACGGCAAATCTTCGCCCTCAACCTTTAGATACACGGGGTAGGAGGCCGACCGGAGCTTGACCCCTATCGGCGGTGAGATTTGGCGGGAGGGACATTTCCGCGCGGCAGTTCTCGCTTCCCCTTCCCTCCGCCACCAGTGACCTCCCCCCGCCCACTCCGGAGCACCTTCCCTGGCTTCGTATCGCCTCCATGGAAGCCTCCCAGTCGTCGCCCATCATCGTGGGTGTCACCCACACGCCAACCCGTCCGGCAGATCTCGTCCTCGGCCACGTGGTGCCCGGCGTCGTTCAAGGCTGATGATGACATCAATACCATTGTTACACCCACAGCCCCTACTGCTATACATACTGGACCAATTATTAGAGCTCGCGCACGCCAATTAAATTATCAGGTACTTTCGTTTCTTGGTAATGATTCTAATGTTCATGAGAGTATGATGATGCCTAAATTGGATACATTTATTTTGCTTACAAATGAAGGGCCTGGCATGAATAAGAGGGATGAACACTGGAGCAAGACCAAGCATGGAGATGATGGCATGCGCAAGGAGATCAAGAACGGAGTTACAAGTGATGATTTCAGGACTTTGAAGCCACCATAAGGAGTGCATGAAGACTTGGACGAAATATACAAGATGACACTTCATAAATTTTGTCTAGAGGCTATTATAGGTGCTACGTCACCTTATTTTTGGGTCAGGCCCATGTATTTTTGAAATACTTAAGTATAGGTTGTTTTTAGAGTCTGTATGTGTGGGGAAACAAGAGTTAGGGTTGGTTTCGGACCCCTCCTCCAAGGGCCATGAAATCCCCCCTCTTCCTCCATATATACAGCCCTTAGGGCGTCGTTTAGACTTTGGGTTTTGTTTAGATTAAAGTTCGCCATAGTTGCAACTTCGCGTACTTCATTTGTGTTCAACGACCAGACAAAGGCGTCACAGAACCCCACCTTCATTAATAAAGCTTTCCTCTTATATTTGAAATATCCAGATTGCAATCTTAGTTTCTTGCTTGTTCTTTGTTTGCCTGCAGGAAACAGTCCTTCGTGGTCAGGTTGATCGTGCTCCGGCGTGGTCAATAACCTCTCGGAGTTGGTTTAGCGATTGCTAAGGCGCGACGTCCTCACACGTTTGTAGTCGGATCATCAAAGTCGACTTCCTCCAAAATGATACCCACCATCTCATCAAAAGATGGGACACCTTTGCCTCTATCAAAGGCTCCATCGCGCCACCCCGCAAGTGGTATGGCAATGTTGTCGTCCAAGGCGGCCATGTCGTGTTTTATTGTCAAAATCGCGGTCAATTGCATTTTTGGTTTTACGGTTTGAGGGCCGAAAACTGGGGGATATTCTCTTTTATCGCTTAGGTTTGCGGGCTCTATTTGGGCGCAGCCAATTTCAGCCTTTAAATCATGTTTTTTATCGGCCCTTATCCGTGGTTTAAGGGTCGTGGCTTTAAGGGGTCTGCTAGAGATGCTAATATTTTTTATGATATTGCTAGAGATCTTTGCGGGCGCCCTTAAATAATTTTTCCTCTTAAAGCTGACCCCTTAAAGCCGCCCCTTTCTTCTTCACCGTCGGCGAAGCAAAGCCGCGCCACGCCTCCCCTTCTTCTCCCTGCCGGCCGAAGCAAAGTTGCGCCGCCCCAATAGAACAGATCCTAATTTGAAGTTGTTCAACAAATAGAAGTACTACTTTTTTGGCGAGGCTAGAAGTTTCATCAAGATATCAAAGTGACAATATCTAAAATATATAGATAATCAAGAATATTGAATGACAATAAAGCTTGCATCTCACAACATAATTTGTCACTAGTACAGAACAGGGCAATAGCACCGGTTCGTAAGGCCCTTTAGTGCCGGTTTCGGAACCGGCACTAACATTTCGGCACTAAAGCCCCCCCCCCCCTTTAGTACCGGTTCAGCACGAACCGGTGCTAAACGACAACCACGTGGCACGAGCCAGCTCCGGAGGCCGCGAGCCCTTTAGTACCGGTTGGTAACACCAACCGGTACTAAAATGTTTGGGGGATTTTTGGTTTTATGATTTCCTTTTCATTTAATTTTGTGTTTTCCATTTTAATTCTTTTTCGTTTGCTGGTATTTTACGGTACTACACATTGTACACGTTATGCATATATA